CATGTCATTTCAGATTTATGTGGATGAAAGGAGATAGATTTGATTTTTCAACACCAAGCTGAAATTATCATCTCTCTCTTTTTATCTTTTTTTTTAAATCAATAAGCAATGAAAGTTCTTTTAGATTTTCATTGTTGGGATTTTACCATCAGACCAAATGTTGAAACTTAGTTAAGCAGCAACTGCTTGGTTGTTTTTCAAATGCATTTTACCTATTCAATGTTTTAAATTTCCAATAAAATTGCACTTTACACATGTCTCTAGGGCAAATAGCTTTTAAACAATAGGTTGAATAAAAGTTTGTGACATCACCCATTGAACAAATTTTGCATCTTGACCAGATATGACTAGAATTTTATTTAGTTTTCTTTCTGCCTGAAACAATACTTTGTACCAAATTTGTTGTATCTTGGAAGTGGTAGGGTGTTGCAAATTGAGTGGCTAGTTATGAAATGACTCTTTATCCAGTTTACAACTTATCATGTTCTACCCCTGGTAGAGTGTTTGGAAACAACTTCTTATTGTTTATCTCCGAATATGATTAAATTTGGTATTATGGCTATTTTCTTTGCCCATATAATCTATCCTTTTTAGAGAAATATGCCATTATAATGAGTTTTCTGTTGACTTTTAGTGCAGAAGGAGTGAGCTAAAATATACTCTGCCCTTGATATAGTTGTTCTCAAAATGTGTGTCTGGCCATTTAGGTCCCACATTTATATTTTTAATAGTACCCTTCTTATATCTAAGTCTTCTGCCTAGTAAAAACCTTTGTGTGGATGTTGCTTTCCTCAATAAAGATAGATAGATGTGTTCTCCATTGTTTTAATTTGGATGTTAGAACAAATTGTTCTTTTCAACTGGCATGTCCTGAATATGAGAGAGTTCATCAATGAGTGATATCGTTGAGTGAGACGTTTAGGTATACATTACATACAATAAATATGCATTTAAACAATATATACATTACATACAATAAATATGCATTTAAACAATATCTATTGTTTAAATGTATATTTATTGTATGTAATGTATATATTGTTTAAATGTATATTTATTGTATGTAATGTATATATTGTTTAAATGTATATTTATTGTATGTAATGTATATATTGTTTAAATGCATATTTATTGTATGTAATGTATATATTGCTTAAATGCATATTTATTGTATGTAATGTATATATTGCTTAAATGCATATTTATTGTATGTAATGTATATATTGCTTAAATGCATATTTATTGTATGTAATGTATATATTGCTTAAATGCATATTTATTGTATGTAATGTAGATATTGTTTAAATGTATATTTATTGTATGTAATGTAGATATTGTTTAAATGTATATTTATTGTATGTAATGTATATATTGTATGTAATGTATATATTGTTTAAATGTACATTTATTATATGTAATGTATAT